CAATAGGGTTTTTCTTTTGTACAATATGACTTCCCTTATGTCAACCTTGTCTTGAGCCGGTATCAATTTGACACATTCTAAAATTGTTCAAGACCTTCTAAATCACTTGCATAGCTTCTTGTAACCAGAGAGCTCAGTGAAATTTAGAAGAAAAGAACACTAAGCTATCGTGAACTCTCTTTAATGTAAAATGACGCTTGGTTCGGTGTTTAGGGTGGGGGCTGACAATCTAAGGCTTTTGTTGGAATGGCTCTTTCTCAGAAGCTGGAGCAGGAAGGCTGGCTCACACACATGCACACACACACAGACACACAGTGCTGGGCTCCACCGCGGCGGTCCCTATCCCTCAGATTGAGGAAGGGCCCCTGGACTGAGGTTCCCAGAAGTCCTCAGATGATGTGACGCTGCCCAGTGAAAGCCACTGCCCTGGAGGGTCCTCCGTCCTCCTTCCCTCTCTCCTGGTCCCCCTCGCTCTTTCCCCCATCCTCATCTATTCACACCATTTCCTCTTCCTCTTCAAAATCAATCTTCCTTTACTCCTTCGCCCTTCCCTCTTTCTTTCTCTTTTCTTTCCCTCCCTCCCTCCAAGATGCTGTTGAAGCATCCAGCAGGAACTTGTTTAGAAGGACTTGTTGAGAGTATTTTTTCATATAACAGTATTTACTGAGAAGCTACAAAGATTCACTCATACATTCATTCATCCATTCATTCAACAAATATTTGTTGAAACACTACTTTTATGCCAAGCTCTGCACAAGAAGAAGAAGACAGACAAAGACTCTGTCCTAAGAGAATTCCCCACATGCCTGGGGAAGGCAGACAGTGTGAATATATAAATAATTAGATTATTATCAAATGTCATAATGCTCAGAATTAAACAAATGGGTTGCTGAGATGAAGAATAACAAAAGGACACTCTTTCCTTGTGAGGTCAGAAAGGACCTGGCCCTGTTAGGGGTGTGTTTAAGCTGAGACCTAAAGGTTGACAGGAAGATAGCCAAGCAGAGCCCCTTGGGAGGAGTGGTCCCAGAGGATGAAACAGCAGGCACAAAGGTCCTGGGGCAGGAAAATGTCAGCTCTGTGGGGGTGTCTCCAAAACCTAAACCAGAGCCTGGCGCATAGTAGGTGGTCAATCAGTGTGTGCAGAATGAATGAGTAAACGATTATCAGACCCTGGCCACTGGAGCATAGGAGGCAAGCAGGAGGGAGGGGAGGGGTGGGCAGAGGCCAGGTCATGGGTGACGAGTTTGGACTGACCAGTCAAGCTCACCAATCCACCTGCCCTCCCCTCATCTCCAAAACGTCCCCACACCCAGATCTAAAGGAGTAGTTCTCACAGTGTGGCCCCCGGACCCTTGAGAACCGGTTGTATCACTTGACATCTATGTTCACAATGTGAGAAGAGCCGTGCTTTCACCCACGCATTCATAATTAATGACTATGTAAATTATAACAATCATTAATTAATTGCTATGACACTGTTTAAGAGGCAGCTGTTTGTTCACTCACATGCAGTCAGAAGCAGCCCCACCCTTCCCGTGCAGTCTGGGAAAGGCTTCCTAGTGGCAGAGAGAAGACATTGTCCCCTGAAAAGTCACAGAGTGGCTGATCCCAAATTCCTGGAATGCGGTAACTTCTAAAGAAATGCAGTGTCATTATGCAGGATAAATTCGTTCAAAAGGAGTTGAGGAATTCCAAACAAAGATGAGAACAAAGAAAAAAATGAATCATTTTATTTATACTTTGTACACTAGTTTCAAATAAACTTCTCGTTGATAAATTGATAAGAAAAGATGATATCTAGCAGCTTTTCGCAGTCCCATACTGCCTTGAATCCATTACAATTCTCCCTAATTTCTCATAGTAACGTAAGTGCTTTCAAAAGGAAAAATGTAGTCAGTAAAAGCCTGAGTTTAAACTTTCACTCATTGTTTCATAAAAGTTAATTCTTATGGGTTATTTAGCACCCACAATTATTGAGGAGCTCTACTGTGAGCCTTAAGATTCTCCAAAAAACAACCGGCACTTAGGTCTCTTCAGCAAAGAAACGTCTGCGACCACTGGTCCTTTCCTGCATGTATTGCCATGATTCTTCATATATATTGATATTAAAATAGATAAAAGACAACACACGATTCTAAATGTATGCATCTCTCCTTGATAGGTTAGAAATAAAATAATTGTATTTAAAAAAATCACTCCTCCTTTTCCTAATTCCTAGTCCCAAGGGCACTACTGGCAGATCATTGTTGATAACAGAATCTGGAAGCATCTGAACTGTGTGGTTTGAGGACATTTTGTTAGTGCCTAGTTTGATCAGTCTTCTCCAAGTTTTGCCTTTTTGGTGCATTTCCCTGCACCAAAGGAAGGATTGTTAGACAGTATGTTGGAAATGAAACGTAATTTTAAAATAAACTTACAGGGTACAGTAGATTGGTGGCACGTAGTGTCGAGAAAAAAAAGATGTCTGGGCAACTTGGAAGAGGTAGGATTTATTGAAGATTTTCGCCAAAGACCAAAGAGTATTTAGTGTATTTGGGTGAGAAGACTCCAAATCTGAGGGGCAATTTACGAGAAAATTTTATAAACCTTAACAGAAAAGACAAACAGAAGGACAGGCGGCAGAAGTTAGGAAAGTGCGATCTATGTGATTTTAAAAGACTTTAAATTTAAAAGAATTTAAAAGCACAAAATGGGATTTGAGTGCACTCTATTAGTAGGCAAACTGACCCAGTACAGCACATTAAAGTTTCAAAGATGCTTAACATGTGTGATCTTAGTCCTTATAACAGCTCTGAGAAGTATTCACAGTAGGCATTATTCCAGTTTTGCAGATGAGGAAACCACATTGTTTTCTGAATGCAGCATGAAAAGAAAAAGGTGCTGTTGAAAAGGAATCAAGCTGAAAAAAGACCCCTGTACAGGCTGAGGGCAGCCTGCAGGCTCCCAGCGTCTGATGGAGAGGAGGGGCCCTCTCTGGTGACTGGGAGCGAACCGGGCTGTGAAAAGCCACTGAACTTGCAGGCAAAATACACAGGGCAAAACCTCTTTTGTGAGACAAGTGACCTAGGCAGAGAAGGAGGAAAGATTCGGTTTTCTCAGAAATACACACATGTTTTAGGTTTGACCTTCTTTGAGCGTTTACTAACTTGAAAAGGAGATTGAGATCCCTGGTCTGGCTGCAAATTAAAAGTCCATAGAATCCCTGAAGGGGTAGAAACTTTATTTTTTCATTAAGATATTTTTTAAAAACATATTTTCTAAAAGAATTGAAACAATTTTCCCTTTTTTCTGCTTTTCCTTAATGTAAATATGGTCACTATAGTAGCCAATAGTATAGCTTTATGTATAATCTGTTTGAAAAAGAAGGGACTACGTCACACTCCCCATTGCTTTAGCTCCAGAGTATTCTGTTTTGAAAATCAAAATGTGGAATCTCATCTGTTTTGGCAGTTGTCAGGGATGAAACCCAAAGAAAAGAAATCAAACATTATAAAAGTTGTTGCAATATTTTGCTACCAGCACCTGTGTACAATGAAACGTTGTTGCTCTTCGGTTACTGGGAACTGCTCTACAATCCATTTTCGGATAGGTGATCATTCAGGTGCTGAGGCAGCTGCTAACAAGTATAAAGTCAGTGCTGAAAACCGGGTGATTCCAGTTTTGTAATTCGTGGGGGGCTGAGCTATTGACAGTGTTTCCACAAAGGACAGTTTGTACGGCTTGGACAATTGTGGATGAAACGGCTTCACCTGCTGGATGGCCCGGTGACGCACCCGCTGTGCCTGCGGGTCCAACAGGCGGTGGTGCAGATACGTGTTCTCGGTTCGCAGCAGTGGCGTGAGCTTTAGGGAGGACGCAGGCCTCCACACAGGAGAGAGGGGAAAGTGAAGGGCAGAAGGCAGTAAAGGTCACGTTGACAAGGACAAGACCCTTCGGGGTCTTTGTCTTGCTGGTGTCGGGGGTGCGGCTGGGGCGGACGAGCGCTTCGGGGTGAGAAGGGCAAAGCGCTCCAGTGCAAGGCTCCAGGAAGGAGTGCGGGCGGCCGGGAACCGGCGGGGTCAAGTTTAATGCCGGGAAGAGACCCGGAGAAAGCAGATGCGGGGTAGGAAGGAAGCTAGGCGAGGGGGCGCCGGCGGAGGGGGCTGCGGGTCAGGATGAGAGCGGGCG